TAAATAGGTACCGCTCCGGCGGGAAGGTAAACGGCGTTTCCGTTCGCTGCTCTGGTTCGCCAGAAGCGGCTTAGTCATGCTGGCCACATGACCCGGAATCTGTACGGCGGCTCCCTCGGCCAAAAAAGCGAGATGAGTGCCGCAACCCCAGAGTAGTCCGCGACTGGACCTAATGGTCAGGGGTCCCTTTACCTTACCAAGGGTTCCCTTCCTTTTAGAATGGTCAGACATATTTTGTCCAGTTATTCTCAAAATCATCTGTTCATTGGTTAATTTGTGAAATTTGCAGTGTTTTAAGTGTTGTTGTTGTTTAGTCGTTTAGTCGTGTCCGACTCTTCGTGACCCCATGGACCAGAGCAAGCCAGGCACTCCTATCTTCCACTGCTGCAGTTTGGTCAAACTCATGTTTGTAGCTTCGAGAACACTGTCCAACCATCTTGTCCTCTGTCATCCCCTTCTCCTTGTGCCCTCCATCTTTCCCAACATCAGGGACTTTTCCAGGGAGTCTTCTCTTCTCATAAGGTGGCCAAAGTATTGGAGCCTCAGCTTCACGATCTGTTCTTCCAATGAGCACTCAGGGATGATTTCCTTAAGAATGGATAGGTTTGATCTTCTTGCAGTCCATGGGACTCTCAAGAGTCTCCTCCAGCTCCATAATTCAAAAGCATCAATTCTTCAGCGATCAGCCTTCTTTATGGTCCAGCTCTCACTTCCATACATCACTACTGGGAAAACCATAGCTTGAACTATACGGACCTTGGTTGGCAAGGTGATGTCTCTGCTTAGTTTTTTTTTATGTTGAGCTTCAGACCATATTTTGCACTCTCTTTCACCCTCCTCACTTTCTGCCATCAAGGTTGTGTCATCTACATATCTGAGGTTGTTGATTCTTCCGGCAATCTTAATTCTGGATGTTTTTCTGGAACTCAGTGTTTTAAGTATGTTTCATTAATAACTCAGAGAAGCTATGAAGCTATGAGCTATGTCATGCAGGGCCACCCAAGACGGATAGGTCATAGTGGAGAGTTTTGACCAAACGTGACCCACCTGGAGCAAGCCACTCCCATATCCCTGCCAAGAAAACTCCATGGACAAAGACAACAGGTATACAAAAAATGTTTTAAGTAGCCATTATTGTGCAAGGGCAATTCTTGCTGCTGTCAACTGCTTTACGGTCAAATGTACTCACTAACCATTTTAGGACATTCTAAAATTCTAAGGGTGTAGGAGGCATAAAGCTGTGTGTGCCAGCCCTGCCCCACCTTCAACCTTGCCACGCTGAGTTGGCCATGTCTGAAGGTAGCATAGAATCATAGAATCATAGAGTTGGAAGAGACCACAAGGGCCATGGGGCCCACCCCCTGCCAAGCAGGAAACACCATCAGAGCACTCCTGACATATGGTTGTCAAGCCTCTGCTTAAAGACCTCCAAAGAAGGAGACTCCACCACACTCCTTGGCAGCAAATTCCACTGTCGAACAGCTCTTACTGTCAGGAAGTTCTTCCTAATGTTTAGGTGGAATCTTCTTTCTTGTAGTTTGGATCCATTGTTCCGTGTCCGCTTCTCTGGAGCAGCAGAAAACAACCTTTCTCCCTCCTCTATGTGACATCCTTTTATATATTGGAACATGGCTATCATATCACCCCTTAACCTCCTCTTCTCCAGGCTAAACATGCCGTTCCTCATAAGGCATCGTTTCCAGGCCTTTGACCATTTTGGTTGCCCTCCTCTGGACACGTTCCAGTTTGTCAGTGTCCTTCTTGAACTGTGGTGCCCAGAACTGGACACAGTACTCCAGGTGAGGTCTGACCAGAGCAGAATACAGTGGCACTATTACTTCCCTTGATCTAGATGCTATACTCCTTTTGATGCAGCCCAGAATTGCGTCACACTGTTGGCTCATGTCAAGTTTGTGGTCAACCAAGACTCCTAGATCCTTTTCACATGTACTGCTCTCAAGCCAGGTGTCCCCCATCTTGTATTTGTGCCTCTCATTTTTTTGCCCAAGTGCAATACTTTACATTTCTCCCTGTTAAAATTCATCTTGTTTGTTTTGGCCCAGTTCTCTAATCTGTCAAGGTCATTTTGAAGTGTGATCCTGTCCTCTGGGGTGTTAGCCACCCCTCCCAGTTTGGTGTCATCTGCAAATTTGATCAGGATGCCCTTGAGTCCATCATCCAAGTCGTTGATAAAGATGTTGAATAAGACCGGGCCCAAGACAGAACACCGTGGCACCCCACTAGTCACTATTCTCCAGGATGAAGAGGAACCATTGATGAGCACCCTTTGGGTTCGGTCAGTCAGCCATGTTTGTCTGAATGTAAGGAAAAGCTTCCATGTGCTCAGAACTCCCAGTGACATAGGGCTCTGGATTGCACGAAGGCTTGTAACTGCATGCATGCAAACAAGCTTAAGACCTTGCAGCTCAATGCAGAAAAATCAGGGGTGGGAGAAGTGGGGCTGGTGTATAGGACTCTGCATCTCCTACATGCTGATAATTTTTTAATGCCTAAAGAGGACTGCTGTGATTACATATCTGTTATAAAATGTAATAATATAGCTAAAACATCAATTTTCAGTCTGATCCTTGCTGTTTGATTAATTATGTGCCAAAGCTAAGTCCAGTAGTTTTGAACTTTCATTTTCAAGCAGGAATTTGAATGAGTTGCTTGTGTGGGCTATTCTTTCTTTTCATTGTGTTACTGTTTTGTTTTGATTGTTTTAGCAGCCTTGCTGTTGTTAATTGTTAATTGTTCAGCTCTTTTAGCTGATAGAAGAATGATCTTCAAATGTTTTAAATAAACAAATAAATGCAATCATTTCCTCATTCAGTACAGTTTGTGTGTGCTATTCTGGAAGACTTGCCTACATGGAAGCTCAGACTTTTGTCAGTTTATGGCTGTCAAGCCTTTGCCTGAAGACCTCCAGGAAGGGGGAGCCCCATACTCCTCTGGGAGGAAGGTGGGGTATACATTTAATTAATAAATCGCTCATTGTAGGTAATGGTTCAAATGCTCTTACCATCGTTAAATTTCTCTTCATGCTCAAATAAATCTATCATTTTGTAAGTGGAACTTATTAGATTTAGTCCTGCCAACTCTTTGCCTTCTTCTCTGTGACAGCCCTTTGAAGAATGCCTTCTTCTCTGTGACAGCCATTTGAAGAATGCTTTTATTCTCTCCCCCCCCCCATCATTATTCTCTTTCTCTTTTAGTTTTCATGACATGGAAGCTAAAGTTTTGTTAATGCACATTAAAAATGCCTTAGCTTTTTTGCTGACAAATCACACTTCTGAATCATGTTCAGTTTGTGACCAACTACAGTCCTCTGATCCTTTGCACAGGCACTGCCAAGTCAGATATTATTCATGCCAGTGGTGAACCTTGGGATATCAAATTTCAGGGGCCCTCTGTGCAATGCCAAAATTCAACACACACCCTCCCCAGCTCTTGCGCTCCATTCTAAATCATGGTTGTGGTGTCCCTGGGGTTCCATGCCCAGTGCAACCAAACTGGTCACACTCCCTTAAATTTGATTCTGCTTTAAAACAACAACAACAACCTTACTTCTTCTGCTGCTGTGGTCCCTGGAAAAATCTCTCTCTTTGGGGAAAATCCTAGTTGGCAACAATTACCAGACCCTCTCCCTCTTTGCTGATATTTACATTTTTGAAAGACTCTACAGTTTCAACCTGTAAAATAACTGAGGGAGGGATTATTGAAGGGAGGGACAAAAAATGAACAAACCCACATACAGGATATTTTCTGACAGCTCTGCATTTTGGTGTGGGTAGCAAGATGTCAAATAGCAATGAATATATTGAGTGAAAAAATGGGAGGACCCTCATGAGATCATTTGTAAGAGAGTGTCCCTGTCTGGACACAGCATTTGTGTCACATCAGTGGTGCATCCGATAAGTTAAAAAAGAAGCAGAGGGCTTCTTAGTTTGCCATGCCATATACTACAAAGGGATATACAAAAGGGCTAGTTCACATTTCATTCGTTACTGGATTGCAGAGTGTGAGTTATGCTTCCTGTTTCCTGTTTCTGATGTAATTAATGCCCAAAGTGAGACTCATGCATTCCACCACAGCAAGATCCTTGACTTTCTGCTTTGGATGATAAATTAGAAGAGGAAAAATCATTCCAATTCACTCAGGCAGCCTTGCTGAGGCTCACAGATATATTGGCATTGAATTAGACAACTCAATATTCTTTTCTTGTGGTTTTGCTGTGAGAAAAAGAGTATTTAATAATACATTCCAGTTGGAGCTCTGGAATGATTTCAGACAGTCAGAAAACAAAAGAGTACAAGTACGGTGATTTGCAAGCATACAAGCTGCAACAGTAGCCTGGAGGAACTTGACAAGCATATAAATGTAGAAAGCAGAGCCCTCTCAGTCGCTTAACTCACCTTGACACTTTGTCAGCCGGGACAGGGACACTCAGGGGTCATCCACACTTCCACTTGGGAAACCTGCTCTTTACTGCTGAATTGGAGTAAACATCAGTGGGGTTTTCCATGGACTGACGGTTGCTCTGAGTCAGCAGTAAAGCAGGCTCCCTGGGGAAAGCGGTGGGACAAGCAGAAAACCTCTCAGTCCCCTGCTTTCTAGGCATGGAACTGGCAGAAGTGTGGATGAACCCTGAATCAGCTGAGCTTCCCTGCAGCTCATGGAGCCGGCTAGGTCAGGATGTGTGGCTCCAATTCCTGAGAGTAGCAGTGCTTCTCCCCCTGGGGGTACTCAAAGGCAAACAGTACTGGCACCTCCCCCTCCCCCCAAAAAATGTTAAAAATGTGACACTTACTGTAACCATTTCATGGTGAGCATGGGCACCTTGTTTTCTAAAAAGAAAGAAGGAAAAGAAAGCACTAGAGAGTAGTACAGTCCTACCTTGGTCTAAGAACAGTCCTGTTAATGAATGATTCGGGCAACGCACTGCAAAAGCAGAAGTAGGTGTTCCGGCTAGCGAACTTTGCCCTGGAAGATGAATGGAAGCCGACCAGTGGAAGGGCACTGGTGGAGGGAAGCCTCATTGGGGAAAGCGCACCTCGGTTTAAGAATGTTTTCGGTGTAAGAACGGGCTTCCGGAACGAATTAAGTTCATAAACAGAGGTACCGCTGTAATTTGAAAAGTGGGGTGGGCTTGTATCAGTTAAGTCTCCTGCGCTGTGTATTAACTCCTTGTGGAAAAGGTCTGTTTCCCTCAGAGTCCTGTTAAAAAACTTTTTAAATAATAGGGGGAAAGTTTGCTTCTTAACTGAAGACAGCCCACTCTTGAAAGTGCAAGTTACCAGCTTTGATGAGCTAGACTAGATTTTAGCAGAATTTAAGATGAACTGAATGCTCAACTTTCAGTTCAGTCTTTTCTCACCACAACCTTTTTAACCTAGGAAAACTGAGCTTGTTGTCTCTCTCTCTCTCTCTCTCTCTCTCTCTCTCTCTCTCTCTCTCTGTGTGTGTGTGTGTACACACCCATGAGGTTTTCTTACTGCTCCTCTCATAGGAGCCAACCCCCAGGGGCTGAGGCCCCTTCTGCCACCCCAGTAAAATACTTGAGGGGGAAGCCCCCCCCCAGTTGATGGGCATTGCCATTCACATGGTATGGGTGCGCCCTGTCATGTGATCAATTCTGTGGAGTGGGGCTTACCTGCCCCCCCCATATTTTATTCAAGTTGGCACCCCTGACTCCTCTAAAACTGGAGTTTAGTCTACTTTACTGTCTCTGCTAGGGTCATGCCAGTGGTGAATATACATTTTGGGGGGCCTGAAACGTGAACTGTTATGGAAGGCCCTTCACAACCAGCAACAAGGTCTGGGTAACCACTGTTATCTTCTTCAGTGGGGTTGCTTTCAACAACCTTTACAACACCAGTGCTATTGATTCTCAAACTTTGGGATTGTTGAAATACATACAACCAGAGATTAATCAACGAGTTGTGTGACTCAAATTGTACCTACTAGACCAAATTTTTTAAAGTAAATGTGGACTAAAGTTGCTTCTGGAGCTCCTCCAGGATTAGGGACCTTCCTTAGTTTCATAGTACATCCACCCCTGTTCCCTGCGCTGTGCTGTACGAGGGCTACAAATGTGCTGAATTCTTCTGGAATTAGGACTAGCATCACATGAATTCCCAAACACAGATTATGGTGATATCACACACACTTTTCTCTGCACGTAACAGGAACTTGCAAGAAAGCCAGCCATGCAGACAGAACTTCATACAGGGCCATAGGAAGGGTGGGGGCAGTTCGCCCCAGGTGTTATCCCTGAGAGGGGTGACAAAATCCCCCCTGGGCGGATCACTGCTACACTGATCGCCCCCCAGGCGGATCACTGCCCCGTCGATCGCCCCGCCCCCAGGTGCACGCATGTGTGCCACTCTGGGTGCCCAATCAGCTAGCTCCGCCGCTGACTTCATATACAGTCATACCTTGGTTCTCAAATGCTGTGATACTTGTACGTTTTGGCTCCCAAACCCAGAAAACCCAGAAGTAAGTGTTCCAGTTTTCGAACGTTTTTCGGAAGCCGAAGATCTGACATGGCTTCCGCTTGAGTGCAGGAAGCTCCTGAAGCCAATCGGAAGCTGCGCCTTGGTTTTCAAACTGTTTCGGGAATCGAATGGACTTCCAGAATGGATTACGTTTGAGAACCAAGGTACGACTGCACTTTAAGGATACATAGAGTGCAAAATTGTTACTGTGCTATGCCTGATGTACTAATGGATTCAGTGCAATGATCGCTTTAAAAATGGTGGAAACCTTTTGGGTGAATTTGGCCTAGTTACAACTCTTTGAGAGAAAGAAAATTATATGTATGCAGTAACAATAGTAGTAGCAGCAGCAGATGTTCTCACTGTAAAGTCATTATGCTTTTATCTTTTCTATGGGTTTTCTAATGCACTTTCTCCGTCATTGGGTGGGGTTATTGTACTGGGTGTTCAACTACTCTGTAACTATCCCTGTGACCCAGAAAATACATTTTATTTTCAACGATTTGATCTGGCGACACCACATTCCACACTACATTCCATACCTTTCCCTTCCTGAGTTTTAAGAATACTCCTCCCCCCACCTTACAAATTAATGTCAGAGGTGCTGCTAAACCAATGCTGGAGGCAGACACTTGGTTTGATTTATGAGTCTGAGGTTTGAATGGCAACACACAGCCATCAAGCTATAGATGGTGCAGACAGACTCTTTCCACCATGTCTAGTCATGTACCATTTAGGTGTAAGACAGTTATTCCAAAACACACTATTCTTTGCATGAGTTTCACTTCCACAATACAGGCATCTATTCATTTTTGTTAATGATCAAATTGTTTGATGTTTAATACACCAATCTGAAATGTTACCACATTAGATGAGTGGTTCCCAACCTTTATGGTATGGTGAAAGCATTCGATATAACAGATTATGAATATTTTAAAAGTTTTAATCATGATAAAGCCCATTTTGGCTACCAAGAAATTTTGATAACATGAAACCAAAATTCAGATAAATAGAAAAATTTACTTCTGAGGATCCTATCATATGACAGTTCAATTAGTTGTTGTCTGTACAAAAAGAACAACAACTAATTGAACTGTCATGTGATAGGATCCTTAGAGGTAAATTTTTGGAAGGTCTGTTTCTTCAGCAGAAAAGTAGTGCACAAATTTCTGATTAAGCAAGCATTAAATCAGTCTTGGCTGAACTGTTAACTAATGCCGCTGGCAAATCCAATCATATAATTCTCTCTTAACAATATACATCCAGTAAATTTTAAATTAACTTTCCATAGTTTTTCCCAGTCTTCCATTTGTGTATTATGTCCTCTATCTTGTGCCCATTTGATCATTATAGATTTGACCTCTTCATCTTTAGTCTCCCATTCTAACAATAAATTATACCTTTTCTTTAGAAATTTAATATCATCATCATCATCATCATCATCATCATCATCATCTACAATTTCTCTTTGAAATCTAGATATGGTGTAACCAAATCCTTTCTTGTCTTCTTTGAAAACCTCATTTAATTGACGATGTTGCAGCCAATCATGAACGTGTTCTCTTATCTCCTGATAATCCTTAAGTTAAGAAAGGAGGCTTTTGATCTTAATTCTCTTGAGAGCTGGCAGCCCATGGCATCTCTACATGCCACCCCTTGAGTCCTGGCTTTGGGATGCTGGAGATCTGGCAGCCCTAGGATCATCCTATTTATAACTTATTCCTCTAACAGGAGCTATGCTTTCTTCCAGCAAGCTCAACAGGGCATAGATAGCTATGCTGGCTGGGTCTGATGGGTGGTGGTATCCAACATCTGGAGAGCCACAGGTTCATTCCATGATGTTGTCACTGAGAGCCCCAATTCACCCACAGTCAGTGACTGGAAACTTGACAGTATAAAGTGCTATTCCATTTGGGTTTAAACTTTCTCAGTGGTTGGTAAGTACCCTGCAGTAGTAAACTTGGGTAGGGGATTAGAAGAGAAAATGGAAATGAGGTATTTATTTTATGTTGGGAAGGTATATTTTGTTTTGCTCTTCCTTTGTTGGTGTTTAAACTGCCAATTACAAAATTCTTGGAATTGTGAACAAAATATCAGAATCCATCTACATACAAACATCCCTTGATGTCTTCTTCTTCTTCTTCTTCTTCTTCTTCTTCTTCTTCTTTTTCTCCTTGTCATCTGTCTGTTTTTAGAGACAATGCAGTGTGTCTCTGAGGCGGAAGACAAACCGCTGAAGCACAGCACTGTGGCTGTGGAAACCACTATCTCCTAACTGCTGCCTCCCATAGTTTTTTCTGCTTAAAGAAAAGAAATAAACCACACTAACCTCCCTGTCCCTTTCCCCAATCTGGATGTTATATAGAAAAATAGTAACAGCATTTTTTCTTTTGGTATGGGTCATTCTGTCCAAGAATTTGGTATGTGTTGCTCATTAGATTCCCGTTGTGGCCTGTAACAGTTAGTGAGCCAAAGAAATGCTATAAAGTAAGTCCTGGATCTGTGCATTCAATAGCTCATGAAGGCAGCCAAGATCCTGCCATAAGGTCAAAGTGTAGGAGAGAGTCTTTTGAAACTCAATAATCTGTCAACTGTTCTAGCGGAGGGGTGAGGGAATCCAGAAACAGTGCTGTTCTAACTCCACACTGTCAGAAAGTAAAGAGAATTTCCTCAAATTCACCATGTGCAAAAATTGCAATGGATATGCTTCTTCTGTGTCAATTGTCAAGAAAAATAAATTGCAGCATTGCACTGGTTATATACCAATTGCCTTCTCATTAATGATCTCAGAGCTCATTTTTAGAATAACATGGAACACATGTATAGTTCCTACCCATGCTGTGCCTGTCAACGTGTTTAAGTCTTTGGTCCAAGTTGACCCATTTGCTTGTAATGTTAGCACACCACCGAATCATGGCCTAGATGGGTGCCTAAAGTTATACACAGGTGGGCTTATGCATATAGTAGGTGAATTGAAACAAGGACTGAATACTTTATTAATGTATAAAGCACAGCCTTCAGAAGGGTAAGTATACTTGCCATAGAGGAGGAGGTTCTGCAGTCACTTATGGACTCACTGTTAAGACCGTGTTCATGGAAGAGAATCTTACTCAGCTACAAGTGATCGCCAAAGAGAAAAAAGAAGATACTTGCCATAATCCAACACAGAGTTAGGCAAATTTAAGTTGTCGAAGCCACTATATTTTTGAAAGTTTTCCAGTGCACGTTTGACTACGTTTGGGTTTTTCTTTCTCATCATGAAACCCAATGTTCCCACTACTCAGTTTACTTGTGGGTGTGGCTTAGCAGGCTCTCAAAAGGCTCTGCTCCACCACGCTCAGTCTTTTTCTCTCTGTGCTTCAAAGAAAAACCAAATGATCTGAATCTCTCCAAAAGGAAGATTTTACAGCCTGCATCTTTACATGTTCCTTTTCCTAAGGAAAACAAGTACTGTACCTTTCTTTTTAAGTTGTTTGGAACCTTTGTTTGTTTGTTTCACTGCCAGCAGATGGAGACTTGTTGAAGGTAAACAGCGTTTCCGTGCGCTCTGGTTTCTGTCATGATGTCCCATTACACAAGAAGTGGTTTAGTCATGCTAGGCACATGACCTGGAAAGCTGGCTGTGGACAAACGCTGGTTGCCTTGGCTTTAACCATCCAGGAGTCCTTTACCTTTACATTTTTACGAGGGAGTAGGAATTTCTCGCCAACATCCACATCACCTCATCAACCAATTCTTCCCTGTTGGTTAGGATCAGGTTCATGGAAGCCAATTCCCTACTTTGCGGTTCTGAGGAAAATAAGCCTTTGCACCTGCTATTTAATGTTTAAAACTTTGATGTGCTTGGTAATGACACATTTAGCATTGCATATCTTTTTTGTCCCTAAGAGACATTCAATGCTGCTTCACCTGCAGTTTCATGGTTTTTAATCATACACAGTTCTGTCATTTCAGAGTCAGGCTTTTAAAGGCCATGTATATTGCTAGGCAATCTCAACACAATGACAGTTAAATGCAATACTTCAACTCTTAGCTTCCAAAATGCATTCTGCATAATTCATAACATAGGAAAAGCTGGAACACTAGGAGAGCCGCTTCTGAATTCCAGTCAAAATGCCTTATGCATCTTTCATCCCTGTGAAGCAGCATGGACCTAGAATTATAATAATAATCATGCTTTACACTGATATGGCTCTTTGTTTTGAGTATGGAAAGCATTTTTCAACAACCATAAATTGTTAACTCTCAGCAAACCCTTGTGGGGGGTTTTCAGTGTTATTTTAAAAAGCCTTTAAAAAAATAACAGCAAATCAAAAATTCTGCAAGCACATAATCAACTGCTTAAGAGGGATTCTAGATGGACAGTTATAAGAGAGCTACATTTGAAGCTTGTATTAACTAGATAGTAACAGTGAAATAAATACACTTATGCACAAGCTCCCTCCAGTCAATAATATTGAGTTCACCAAGAACAAGTGGGAACTTCCGCTTGCCAACACCATGATAAGTAGCATGTGTTGTATGACACTTAGCTATTATGTGTAACAAATCAGTGTACACACAGGGGCTCTAAATCAGTAGTACTAATTCTTCTGAGCCAGACAAAACATTCAGTGGGTGTTAAAGTGTTAGTGACATAAATAGAAGATTGTCTAACGAACTGATCTTCAAAACACGCTGCTGGCATTATGCCCATTCTCTTCACAAGTTCTTAGCATGGGCAAAGTGCTTTAAGGATTACGCTATCAAGGGGTCCAGTGAGCCAACATTCCCTGACATTATTCTTCCCTAACAAAACTTCCCTAACATTATTCTGGCAGTATGATGTTAAGCTAATTGCACCATCTTATTTTATTTTTAACTACAAGCATTAGAATAACAATGATAATTGTTGGCTGGCCATGTCTGTCAGACTTTGGTAACTATGGAGCAGTGTGGTAAGAGGTTTGGGAAGATATGGCTTCCCTACTTGAACATTTTTGTAGAAGAGGGGATTTCAACAGGTGCGGAGATTTCTATCCCCCACATCTTTTTAACACCTATGATTTTTGCTTTCCAGTGTTCCTCCATAGTTAGCATCCTGCTTCAGAAAATGAACCATTATTTTATGCCATATTGTAGAAGCCTCCTTCTAATACATCCATTTATCCATTTTACACACAGAAGTCATAGTACCACTGTATTCTGCCTTGGCCAGACAACATCTGGAGTACTGTGGTGAGTTCTGGGTGCCACACTTTAAGAAGAATATTGACAAGCTGGAACGTGTGCAGAAGAGATGATCAAGGGTCTGGAAACCAAGCCATATGAGGTTGAGGGAGTTTAGTATGTTTAGCCTACAAAAGAGGAAATGGAGAGGAGATAGGAGAGCCATCTTCAAATATCTCAAGGGCTATCACATGGAAGAGGGAGCAAGTTTGTTTTCTCCTGCTCCAGAGGCTAGGACCTGAACCAGCCTATCAAGTTACATGAAAGGAGATTCCGACTAAGCATCAGGAAGACCTTTCTGACAGTAAGAAGGTAAGAGCTGTTCAACAGTGGAATGGTCTCCCTCAGGAGATTGTGGACTTTCTTTGCTTAGAGGTTTTTAAGCAGCGGTTGGATGGCCATCTGTCATGGATGCTTTAGTTGAGATTCCTGCATTGGGCTAGATGATTCTCAGGGTCCCTTCCAACTGTACAGTTCTATCATTCTATGACAAGCAGGTCTGAACAAGCTTTTTGGCTCCTCTCTCCAACTTCAGCTCTCACCTTCTGTTCTTTTTATTCTAAGGAAGGTTCAGAACACTCTGAACAAAATCACAATTTGTCCAGTAATAGGGCTGGCCATCTCCAGAAAGGCAAATCAAGTAGCCTCATAATAGTGATTCTGGTAGAACACTAAACCACAGGCTTGGATATGCTTAGCTTAAGTGAACATTTGCTCACTTAAAAACTGCTGAGACTTGATCTGGACTTTCCTAAGCTATAGTGCATATAGTTTATGGCTCAGTGTTGCTGCCAAAAAATCCACAGGAGTTTGGCCAGCATCTACCAGGCAGCTTAGCTGAACCATTGTAGATACATAAAGATTACAGTACCTCTGATTTAAAACCATGGTAGCCTTTCAGTGGCTTTTGTTTTACTTACAAAGTGTATGCATGAGGAGAAATAAAAACAGTTGGCTTTGAGTAATGAATGGTGCAGTCTCATACATCTCTACTCAAAGGTAAACACCACAGTGTGCAGTGGGACTTACTCCCAGTAAATTGTGTACAGGATTACAGCTAAGATTGTCCCACACACTCTTAAACGCTCAAGTCAAAATAACAAAGACTGCATGGTGTAGTGGTAAAAGTGTTGAACTAAGACCCGGGAGACTGCAACAATCCCCAGTGTTATCTGTGCCTGATTCCCTCACATTTTCCTTCCTCACAGGGTGGGTTCTGTCAGTTGGTCCAGAATTGGGTGAGATGTAATGTCCAACTGGAGCAGGCCGGGGTATTTTCTGTGGTTGCCTCCACTGGAAGGTTTTTTATAACACAGTTGACCCTTCCCCGCCACTGCCCTTCTGGCAAAATTGTCTTGGGTGAGCCCCTGAGTGACATGCTCTGTGGACCTCATTACAGCTAGAACAATCAAGATGTCGATGGCCCACCAGGGGGCGCATTGGAAGATGGCCGACAATAACATCTCTCCGACCCACACAAGGTAATTAAGAGGCTGATATGGGGAGTATGCAGCCTCCCTTACCCCCCCAAGGAGATGGGGGGGAATGCCTTGCCAGCTGTGTCCATAATTCACCCCCGGACTCGAAAGAAGGGGGTGTGGGCACTTGGCACGAAGCCCTCGAGTGAGGCCAGTCTCCTCTGACGCTGTCTCTAATCGCTCACTGGTTCGCATTAGCTCGAAAGATATAATTGGAAATATATAATTAGAAATAAGCTAATGGACATACATCAAGTGAAGATTGGGAGTAAAGACTGCTGATTAATGGATCTCTGTGAGCGGAGCGACGGTCTGGACAAATAAATCAAGTGATGAATCATCATTAAAAGACTGGTATGTTGGAGTGAAACGGAAAGGGGGGGAGGAAAAAACTTTTCTTTTTTTGCCTTATGTGAGTATTAATAACCCTCCCCTCCAGAGAGAAGAATCGTTGCATTTTATTAATCACAAGCAGGATTTTAAGAACTGTGTGGAATGAATTACTGATCAAAGAGAGGACTGGTAGAAACATCGGGGAACGGAGGAAAGTTTTATGACGCAGTTTCAAATGGCGTCTCGCTAAGACAGACTTGCCTAAGAAGGATGAGGGGGAGGAGGACCAGGGTCATTGGAATGTGAATGTATGGTTATCGGAATGTGATATTGACCTGGCAGAGCCCTCTGAGATATGTTTGGCAAGCCTGGAGAAATCAACGGACAGACTGAGGGAAAATTCTTTACGGAGGTGTGGAAATGGCGTCTGTCCTTTATGTGATATGATTTTTGGAGAGTGTAAAACCCACACAGAGGATGTTTGTTTTCAACCCGCTTGTGAAGATTATCAGAGATCGCAAAGAAAGGAATATATGACAACAACAACAAGATGAGGATTGTAACAAAGAGACTATCTGGACAGAACTGGATAGAACTGTTTAATTAAAGCAGCAACATGAGTGATGTTTGGACCCCTTTCGGAGCTTGAAGTATGGGTGCCCCCAATAAAAAATTAAAAATCTGGCTGTATAATTTGGAACTAATGTGATTTGGAAATAATGTGATTTGATTGGCCTGTTAATAAAAATTATTTTTTTAAAAAATAGAACAGTCAAGATGTCTGGCTGGAACTGGGGGGGGACAGATACCCCTAAACATTTTGTGAATCTTTGTACTTTTGTCCATTTACTGTATTTCCCCCCCCCCCCGCCACCGATTTCAACTATAAAATGGTGATTTTCTTGAGTCAAAATGACAGTACAGTACTTGCGAAGCAAGCCCATAGGGAAAATCGTCTTGCGAAGCAGCTCAAAAAACCAAAAACCCTTTCGTTTTGCGAGTTTTCCGTCTTGCGAGGCATTCGTCTTGCGAGGTACCACTGTACTGTACTACTAAATTGCTGCTGAAGAATCACCCGGGGGTAGTTTCCTGTTTCCTTGAGATGCCCGAGTTGGCTTTCCCAGAGCTGCAACCCTAAATCGTTTGCAAAATCCCAGGCAGAGGGAGGGAGATGCGGGTTCAGATTCTGCCAGCTGCACAGCGTTGCTCGGAGTGAAGAGGCTGGAGGCGTTTGCAAAAGGCACCTTCTTGCTGCGGGAGCCTAAATGGAAGCAAAACAGCCTCCTCGGGTACCTTCTTCCCCTCCACCAAGTAGCCCCACACCTTTCTCCCCCTCCCCTGTCAAGGGGGAGGCGCGCATCGGTACACGCGTGCCTTTTATTCTACTCCACCGATTCCCCCCGACCCACAACCTGCTGGGGCCGCTGCGTGGACGAACCCGAAGTGCCGAGTGGCGCGGACTCCGTTTCCCGCGCACCTCTTTGGGCGCATCTGAAGAGGCGGCGCCGCGGCTGCGCACGGAGCGCCGGGCGGCGTCTAGTTGCCGTAGCAACGAGCGGAGGCCACCGTCGGCGCGCGCTGATGTCTCTGCCGGAGCCCGTGAGGAGGCGGCTGAGCTCCTTCAGCCGGACCGTCTTCACGGACAACAACCGGACCGGACCCGGGAGCAGCGCCGCCGACAGCGTGCCGGGTGAGTGGCGGGCGAGGGCGCCGCAGGGGCCAGCTACGAAGATGGCGGCGGCGGCGCCGTCACGTGGTCGGCTGCCCGGAGTCGCGATGGAGGGGCGCTGGGCGGCGGGGAGGCGGCGCAGAGCCCTGGGCTGTTGCAGCTGCAGTGGAGAGGGCAGGGGTTGCAGTGAATGCAAGATCAGGGGCTCCTCCCAGACCAAGGAATGCCTAATAAAGACCTTCTTATTCATTTGTTAACTGCTGCCACATTAATAATTGCCAGGTTTTGGAGGACTCAATATAAATCTCTTCGAAGCTTGCCTGTCGTAGATATGGGACTCCATACTTACGGATAAACTAATGGCCTTACTGCAACAAGAGCACCATACGGGAAAGATCAACACAAGCTTTTATACAACGTGGCCGCCTTTTATTGGATATGCACGGCTTCCATCCACCAGCAACACAGGGAACGTTGTGGAATGACACTTTCATCTGACTATACATCCAATGATCCTCATCTGGGATTGCTTTTGTTACATTTTCACTTTTTGTGATGGCTCTACACCAACCTGCAGCTGTTATTGTTGCTGTTACTATTTTTTCTCTACTTTATATCTAATTCATTTGTAACTGAAAATCAATAAAACACACCAAAGAAGCAGCAGCTCCTAGTGGAAATGGGTTCTTCGTTTCAGGCCACTGTCCACTTCAACTCTGCAAAAACGTGTGGCTTTCTCAGGAGCTTTTGTAAAAGCGGGTAGCAACTTGTGTAATTTTGAATGTTACTAGCATGAGGCATATAATATGCTTTTTAAAATTCCATCGCATCCAAATGTTTATTTAAATTTTTCTGAATCGCAGAATCATAGAGATGTAAGGAACATCGAGGGTCATCTCCTCCAGCCCCTTGCAATGCAGGAATCTCATGTCAAATTCTGTAATGAACCCAGGGGATGGAACAGTGTGGTGTAAATGAAAGCTGAAAAGAAACAAGGCAGATGTCAGGAAGTAGTATTTTTGACACTACGAAAACATTGCAAGACGTTTGCTGAGGCAAGAACTCCAGAATCAATTGAGAAATAATGGCTGATTTCCTGAAGGAACTGAAAAAGATTTCTATAAGTCATAGAATTGGAAGGAACTCTGAGGATCTTCTAATCCAGACATTGGCAAACTCGGCCCTCCAGATGTTTTGGGACTACAACTCCCATCATCCCTAGCTAACAGGACCAGTGGTCAGGGATGGTGGGAATTGTAGTCTCAAAACATCTGGTGGGCCTAGTTTGTCTGTACCTGATCTAGTCCAACCCCCTACAATGGAGGAATCTCAACTAAAGCATCCCTGACAGATGGCCATCCAACATCTGCTTAAAAACCTCCAAGGAAGGAGAATCCACCACCTTCCGAGGGAGTCTGCTGCACTGATAGAACAGCTCTTACTGTCAGAAAGTTCTTCCTGATGTTGAGTTGGAATCTCTTTTCTTGTAACTTTAAGCCATTTGTTCCAGTCCTACCCTCCAGAGCCGGGGAGAAAAGCTTGCTCCATCTTTCATGTGACAGCCTTTTGATATTTGAATATGGCTCTTAGTCACCTCTTATCCAGGCTAAACATACCAAATTCCCTCAACTGCTCCTCATAAGTCTTGGTTTTCAGACCCTTGATCATCTTGGCCACCCTCCTCTGCACACATTCCAGCTTGTCAATATGCTTCTTAAATTGTGGTACCCAGAACTGTACACAGTACTCGATATGTGGTTTGAACAAGATAGAATAGAGTGGTACCATTACTTCCTTTAAAAAAAAATTGTATTGAAACTTTTCAGCAATAAAAACAGATTGATCTAAATAAAAAACAAAACAACATAAAACAAAAAAAGAAAGAACGGATTATTTGGGCTTAGAAGTTCAAGCATGTCTCTTAGAACTGTGCTTTTTTCAGAAGCATCTCATTCATCTGAAACCTATGGATATTTTACTTCAAAGTAACTGTGCAAAAAGTTGTAGCCTTCAACATATAGAAGGGAAAACGTCTGAAGTGGCTGGTGGGTTCTTTCCTCTGTCTCTCCAGATAATGAAATCGTCTCCAGTTTGCCCTTGCAGATGTCCCTCTATTTCAACCTCTGCTTTTTCCCATTTTGGTGGGTCAGCAGTATAGTGATGCTGCAGCTGAAGGTGAGTTCAGAAGACAATTGGTACTCTTATAATCCTATTGCATCTGCTGTTGTTCTGTACAAACTCTGCAAGAGAGACTAGTAATGGTGCATCTACATACCTTGTAATAGCCGTACTTCTATAATAAGATTGAGAATGTTCTGAGTGGTGCTTATTTAAAGAATTTTGTATCCCACTCTTCAGCCAGAAAAAGCTCCCAAAACAATTTGCCTATCAGTGCAAACAAGGCAGTCCTAATGTTTACAGTCTAAAGAACAATCACACAACGGAAAAAGAGATAAGGAGGGAGGATGAAATAAGTGGTGGCCAAACTTTTTTCAAAGAGGGCCAGATTTGATGAAGTGGAGTGAAGGGACATGAGGGCCAACCAAAGAGCCAACCAAAATTGTTGAGCTTTGTTTAGGATTGAAGTTGTTGAGCTTTTTTTATGATTTTACCCCAGGAAATAAACTGCCACAGGAGCTGGATTAAACCGACCAGCGGGACAGATTAGGCCCCCAAACCGGACTTTGGACATGCCTGATAAGCAAACTCTGTTATAGGTTCCTAGTTATAAGTTCTTCTAATGACCAGCCAGAGTGGAAAAGTTCAAGGAGATAACAGTTAATGGTCTCAGCTGCATTGATGGAGTGACCCTCCATCCCTTTCCTCTCCGCCTCTGCTGCAGCCTGGTGTAATGACTGCTGCCAGTCAGGTGACAGTTGATAAGAGGGAGGGGCCTGACTTCTCAGCAGAGATGGCTCTCCATTCCTTCTCTCCCTCCCCTGCTGTAACCTAATGAAATGGCTGTGGTCAAGTGACACTTGCAGACAGGTTTATAACATAAGCAGGCAATTTTTTTTGGGGGGGGGGACACAGATTCTCAGTGTAGCCTTATGAGGCTTTGCCCTCGGGTGGGAAAAATATTGCGCCCGAGAAAGGGAAGTGGGAGTCAACAGACACTCAAGGAATAGTTTCAGAGAAAAAGCTTTATTTCTACCATCCATGAACTGGTAGAAGGAGCAAGTGTGATAACTCACAAAAAGCATGCACAAGTTCACAGTCATGTGCACAAGCATATATACCCTTCCAGTTCCCTCCCCCTTTTCTCCTCCTTCTTCCAGAGTCCTGCCCCATGAATTCCTCTGAGCATGAACAGAAAGCTGTCTTGGGACTATTGTGGACTCTTGGCGCCCTTCCCAGGAAAGGGGGGGAGGGGTGAGAAGCCAAGGGGTTTCAGAGTGTTCAGATATGTTTCAATCTCTTGTTCTGGCATAGTTCCCGGAAAGAAAGTTGCAAGTCAAATGTACTGTTTGGCAAGGTCAACTATAGCCTGAGAAGCGACCTTTGTTACAGCAGAGCGAAATGTTTCTGATGCTTAGCTAATGCCTTTTAGGGGCTGAGAAAAATTATTTTGAAAAGCTTTGAGAAGCTTTGAGCCCGCTTTGGTGGGGGGTGACTTCGGGCCTAGGTGGGGTCACCTGTCCTCACCTCCTACATCAGTATAGTATGGATTCCAAGAATATGACAGTCAATTGGCCAATGGTAGTACAGGCATACCTCAGAGATATTGTGGGTTCAGTTCCAGACTACTGCCATAAAGCAAATATTGCAATAAAGTGAGTCACACAAAGTTTTTGGTTTCCCAGTGCATATAAAAATTACGTTTACACTATACTGTAGTCTGTTAAGTGTAGTATATCTAAAAAAGCAATGTACATACCTTCAGAGTTGTTTTTTCCATTGGGCTTACTGGCTTGTTGCACCAGGGCGCTGGCCCCTTAGGGGTGCCCCAGTGAGTGGGGGAGCTGTGTGGCTTTGCCGGCGGCCTCCCCTTTCCCTCTGCACGCCCGCCAGCTGCGCCCCGTCAACCATATGGGTGGCAGGCGTGCAGCTTCCTTCCTAGGCCCTCTTGGGAGGAGAGCAATCCCCGCAGAGGCTTAGGATGGAAGCTGCGCCCTGCCAACTATATGGCTGTCGGGCGTGCAGCTTCCTTCCCAGGCCCCCGCAGAGGCTTGGGAAAAGATTGACAACTCTGGGAAACGGGGGTGGGGCGCCAGAGGGATCTTTGCACCACGGTGGCGGATATGCTTAAGACGGCCCTGCAACCTTGATTAATGTGACGCAGAGACACAAAGTGAGCACATGCTGTTGGAAAAATGGCGCTAGTAGACTTGTTTGATGCAGGGTTGCCACAAACCTTCAATTTGTAAAAAACACAATTATCTGTGAAGTGCAGTAATGCGAAGCGCAACAAAACGAGGTATGTCTGTATTTAATTTTTTGTCATTTTTTGTCATTTCTCAATTCTAGTATCCAGTCTTACCAGACTACTACAAGTTCATCTTGGTGACAGTCATTATATTAACCTCTCTGATTGAAATGATCCGCTTGTACCTAGGATACATGGGGAATTTGCAGGAGAAGGTAAGTTTGCCTCACACCCATGAGGAATTCAGTAGCAGTTATCTCAGACTAATAGATTATTAATATTGAATAACCTTTCTTAGGTTACAGCCTTCCCCCAACAAATTTAGTAGCTGGACTCAGTCCTGAAGATAAGATACCACACAGACATGCTGGTTAGACGCATACATGGTTTTTTTGTAGACACTTGTATGGAGGAGCTTCTGTAGAGCAGTGGCCAAGACAAAGTGTGAAAGCCGGGAAGCAGCTCAGTAGGTGGTCTCAGTGAACCACCGCAGAGGGAAGGTCCTACCCTCTTCTGAAATATTTTTAAATGGAATATTTTAAAAGTCTCTTAAGTGGTGCACAATGGTAAAATAAAAATGCAGCATACTGTAAAACCAATAAGCAGTAATATAAAAGCATTTTAAAAAATAAAAGAGGAATTGATGCATTCAAACACATAAAACAGGTCTCGTCTTAATGGGTCAGGGAAAGCAACATGGAGTAATGAATGCTATTGGCCACACAGGGCCGTTGTAAGAGTTGAAAAACAGTATGTGAAGCACTTTGAGTACTTGAAATACACTACAGAAATGTTAAGTATTAAAAAAACACAGTGCTAGTATTAGTAAATGCCATTCTGGAATGAAATGTAAAAAAACCCAACAACCTGGGATATAATGTGGATCTGAAAGGAAATGGAACTGACATGTATCTGTCTAACAAAGAATAAGGTTAAGACTTTGGGGCTGCACTTTTCCTATACACGTTTACCTAGGAATAATCCCATTAAATACAGTGAGATTTACTTATGAATAAACAAGCACAGAAGCGCATGGTGGATCAGCCTAACATGCTGTCTGCAATTCCAACATTCTAAAATTCTATTCAGTGCTTAATCTGATTAAGGTTTTAGCCTTGCAGTTGCATGGATTAGTAAGAAAGGAAAGAAACGCTCCTGAGTATGTGCAGAGCGTGTTTTCCTAGCTACTGAAAAAATGTTACACACAAGATGCTTAAGCAGTCAGGGTTCAGGCCTCATCATGGGACTGAAACTGCCTTGGTCGCGCTGGTTGATGATCTCCGGCGAGCTAGGGACAAAGGTGAGAGCTGTTTCCTGGTTCTGCTGGATCTCTCAGTGGCCTTTGATACAATCGACCATAACATCCTTCTGGACCGTCTAGAGGGGCTGGGAGCTGGAGGCACTGCTATACAGTGGTTTCGCTCCTTCCTCCTGGGCCGTGTTCAGAAAGTGGGGGGGGGGTGAGTGTTCAGACCCCTGGGCCCTCACTTGTGGGGTACCTCAGGGTTCCATCCTCTCCCCCATGCTTTTTAACATCTATATGAAGCCGCTGGGAGAGATCATCAGGGGGTTTGGACTGGGTGTCCATCAATATGCAGATGATACCCAGCTCTACCTCTCTTTCAAATCAGAACCAGTGAAGGCGGTGAAGGTCCTGTGTGAGTGCCTGGAGGCGGTTGGAGGATGGATGGCGGCTAATGGATTGAAGTTGAATCCTGACAAGACAGAAGTACTGTTTTTGGGGGACAGGGGCGGGCTGGTGTGGAGGACTCCCTGGTCCTGAATAGGGTAACTGTGCCCCTGAAGGACCAGGTGCACAGCCTGGGAGTCATTTTGGACTCACAGCTGTCCATGGAGGCACAGGTCAATTCTGTATCCAGGGCAGCTGTCTACCAACTCCACCTGGTACGCAGGCTGAGACCCTACCTGCCTGCGGACTGTCTCGCCAGAGTGCTGCGTGCTCTAGTTATCTCCCGCTCGGACTACTGCAATGCGCTCTACGTGGGGCTACCTTTGAAGGGGACTCGGAAACTACAACTAATCCAGAATGCGGCGGCTAGACTGGTGACTGGGGGCGGCCGCCGAGACCACATAACACTGGTCTTGAAAGACCTACATTGGCTCCCAGTACGTTTCCAAGCACAATTCAAAGTGCTGGTGTTGACCTTTAAAGCCCTAAATGGCCTCGGTCCAGTATACCTGAAGGAGCATCTCCACCCCCATCGTTCTGCCTGGACGCTGAGGTCCAGTGCTGAGGGCCTTCTGGCGGTTCCCTCACTGCGAGAAGCAAAGCTACAGGGAACCAGGCAGAGGGCCTTCTCAGTGGTGGCACCCGCTTGTGGAACACCCTCCCATCAGATGTCAAAACGATAAACAACTACCTGACATTCAGAAGACATCTTAAGGCAGCCCTGTTCAGGGAAGTTTTTAATGTATGATATTTTAGTGTTTTTTGGTTTCTATGGAAGCCGCCCAGAGTGGCTGGGGAAACCCAGCCAGATGGGCGGGGTACAAATAATAAATTATTATTATTATTATTATTATTATTATTATAAGCATGTTGATTTCAGGTGCTTAAGCAATAGTAGACAGCATGGTGGGTCAGAGGCACTTACTTGGTCTCCATGCAGGTGAGGCACTGCTGCTTATTGAGAGGAGCGAGACAGTGGCAAGGTCAGAACACTGCAAATGCAGTGACCAGTTCAATCCAGTGTGTTTCCACCACAACACGCTCCCCGCCCCTTCCCTGTATGCAGCAGCATCTCACCTACCAGGAGCTCAGGTAAGCAGCTCTGCCCCACCATGCTATTTGCTTCCGTGTTTCAGTCTGTATTGGATTAAGGGGCGTACCTAGGGGTTGGTTAGGTTGGGCCCCGCCAAGGGCTCAGGCCCAGGGGGGCACAAAAAGCACACCTCTCAACTCTGACTGAGACTGGCTAGGAGCCTGTCTGTCCCTCTGCACGCTCTCCAAGCTGCTCTTCCGCTGCTCTGGGCAGCTGGGCGAGGCACACAGGGATGGCGGGGAGGAGGGCAAGGGCGCAAGGAAGCCTGTGTACACCTCTGATTGGATTATGCGCTACATGTTTAGGATTGGGGTGCTAGTGGGTTTCTCCACCCCACCCACTTCCTTCTCCTAATCATGGTCTCTTCATTCTGACTTTTGTTGCCTATGTAAATCCTACCTCTTTATCCTGAAAAATGCTGTAAGAATGTGAGCAATACAATTTGTCCTCTGCTGCTGTCCAGGGCAGCTAAAGGGCAATGCTTCCTGTTGAAGAGACACAAGCTAGCAATTTCCATCCACTCCCTCGCTTCCCCCGGCTCTCCCCAGTCCTGTTTGTATTCTGTTCCCCCTGTCAGCAAAATGACATCTGGCTGAGATGTCTGAGTGAAAAGTCTGGTGGGGTTGGGTCTGAGTGAAAAGTCACTTCGTTGGCAGGGTTCTCTTGAAAGCTGCAGCCACAACAACAGAAGCAGAAAATCCGCAGAAGTCGAAAAGCTGTTTAATGAAATCTCTGTGGCTCTTAGTTTCTCAGTGTTCACACTTTGGACACAGGTGTTAGAAAGTCTGACCAATAAATTTTCTACTACTGAGTCGTCATGCTGCCAGGAGGTTAGTATATTGATACAACCCCCCCCCCCCTTTTATTTTTTTGCCTTTAATAGGTTCCTGAACTAGCTGGCTTTTGGCTCCTGAGTCTCCTTTTACAACTGCCCTTAATTCTCTTCCTGCTTTTAAATGGAGGTCTGAAAATCCAGCCCTTGGAGCGAGCAGTGAATATCGTCTTTGTAGTCTTCCTTGTCTTCCAGGTTGTTACTGCATTCATTGCCCTCAGAAGAATGGTGAACCAACTGGCAAATCGCTTCCGTCTTCATGAGTTTGACCAGCTAGATCGTCATTTCCGCTCTGATAACCTAAGCTGGCATAAAATGAGAGTGGAGGCTCCATGGGATATGAGGCCACGTGTGGAGGAAATTCGCTCAACAAGTTCTAGTTGGACATCTGCCGTGAGGGCTTGATGCAGAACAGCCACCTGCCCATCTTCCTTGGTTCCTGTTGCCTTAATTATTTGGGTTTCTGACAATCTGAACTTGTTCCAGATAACAAAAAAGCTACTCTTCTGCTAGGAACCTGTAAGATGAGCATTACCACCAGTGTCTTCACTGTGAGCCAATTCTGTTGCGATCAAAAATACTAACACAGGAAAAAATGTGACACTGGAATGTAAAACCTGCATGTATTTTGCAGGCATGATTCATGAGGTTAGCTTTCTACACAATCTTTCCAATTGTATCTTGTGTTATCCACATGGATGTGCCTTCCCCTGTAACGCTTTAGCATGTATTCCTCTTTAGACATTTTTCAGTGAAGGAAAAATGTTTTATCAGCAGTAGCCCTCAGATTCACAGTTGTTTTGGACTTCTAAAAGTCTTTATGTTTTTATACTTTGCTTAATTTTTAAATGTGTTTTCTTAATATTTCAATAACTGTTGCAAAGGAATATTTTGTAAAAATAAATTGGTGTTAATATATTCTATTGAAATGTTTTACTGCAATTGGCTATGGCAAGCTAGCATTCCCCGTTGAATGATACTTTGCAAGTGATAGCCATAGCTCTTCCAATGTGTATTGCTCCTCTATGACCTTCTTTCTTTAACCCAAAACAGAATTGCCTGATGGACTTACCTGAAGGAGAGTTTCATTTTGAGATAGTTCCATGATTACAGTACATAGGAAGACAAAGCCATGAAAGTGTGCAAGATCCACAGATACTACATTACAATCTACATCCGAGGCTAAAAGTTTCAACAGTAGTGGCCAAGCCCTTGAAACTGGAGGAGGAAGAATGAAGCTGTTCCCCACTTCCGCTCTCAACTTTATTTGAATTTTAAGGCTCGTATCAATTCTACTGGATCCAGCTTCTGTCCAGGTCCATTGGAAAAGTAGAGTATGTGTGTCCTTCATTCTCTCTTAGAAAGAAGTGACCAGAGGGGATGGTGCTTATGGCACATGCTCAAGAATACAAATTTACCCATAAATATATTAGTGGGGTAGGGAAGCTTTTAATGTTTAATAGATTATTGTATTTTAATAATCTGTTGGAAGGTGCCCAAAGTGGCTGGGGAAACCCAGCCAGATGGGCGGGGGTATAAATAATAATAATAATAATAATAATAATGCCAATATATTTCACTTCTGGCAACCAATGTGCCCCTTTGGTTTCAGATAGTACATAGGTAAAAGGCAAAGGACCCTTGACAGTTAAGTCCAGTCGCGAACGACTCAGGGCTGTGGTGCTCATCTCGCTTTACTGGCCGAGAGAGCCAACATTTGTCCGCAGACAGTTTTTCCGGGTCATGTGGCCAGCATGACTAAGCCGCTTCTGGCAAAACCAGAGCAGCGCATGGAAACGTTGTTTACCTTCCCGCCGGAGTGGTACCTATTTATCTACTTGCACTTTTTGGCATGCTTTTGAACTGCTAGGTTAGCAGGAGCAGGGACCAAGTAAAGGGAGCTCACCCCGTTGCGGCGATTCGAACCGTCGACCTTCTGATTGGCAACCCCAAGAGGCTCAGTGGTTTAGACCACAGCGTCACCTGCGTCGCTAGTACATGGGTAGACAAGTCTAAATAGCCTGGGACACAAATTTCCACAGCCCTCTAGCAGCTATGGTGGCTCATTTACCAGAAGTAATGCATTTAGCATTAAGACTGGAAGTGTATACTTGATTCTGACCAAACTAAGCCTCCTAGAGCAAAAGCTTCCAAGGAGGCTGAGTTTGGTGAGAATCAAGCATACTCTTCCAGACTTAATCGTAATATGTTACTTGTGATAAATGAAACCACCATTAGGCCTGGGCGATGTATCAATACATCGCCCAGGACTGGTTTGAGGGCCAGAGTGTGATGGTGCCTTTACCTTGCGGTATATCATGGGTGGGACTTGCCTTCACCTGACTCTGCTGCCAGTGCACGGCGTGCCAAGGGACCTACAAGCTACATTGGCCCCGCGAGGCACTGGGGTGAAATTGACTCAGCTCCCTGGCTTTTTAGAGTCTTCTACCCATGTACTATCTGAAACCAAAGGGGCGCATTAGTTGTAAGATGGGGATTTTTTGTGTGCTCTCCTACCCATATACTGGGATGCGGGTGGCACTGGGGGTTAAACCACAGAGCCTAGGACTTGCTGATCAGAAGGTTGGCAGTTTGAATCCCCGCGATGGGGTGAGCCTCATTGCTCGGTCCCTTCTCCTGTCAACCTAGCAGTTCGAAAGCACGTCAAAGTGCAAGTAGATAAATAGGTACCGCTCCGGCGGGAAGGTAAACGGCGTTTCTGTGCGCTGCTCTGGTTCGCCAGAAGCGGCTTAGTCATGCTGGCCACATGACCCGGAAGCTGTACACCGGATCCCTCAGCCTATACGAGTGAGATGAGTGCCACAACCCCAGAGTCGGTCACGACTGGACCTAATGGTCAGGGGGCCCTTTACCTTTACCTTTACCCATATACTACACAATTCCATCCATCTCAAAAATGTTTTCTCCCACTCTCAGCTTTTCAGAATTGGTTGTAACACAAACATGATGGAATAGTGATCCAACAGTGCAACACAGTTTAAGAAATGCTGTCACAAGCCTATAAAATGTGTATTTTGTGACACCACCACTGGCTCTAACGATACAGCTCTCTCAGGGCCTGCTTTGCAGTGGTAACCATGAAATCATTACAGCTGCTCAGAAATCCACTGCCGGTAAAGTCTTGTGGAAAGCGGAGGTTCGGTGCTACTCTGTCTCTCCTGCTCTCTTGCATACCCACAATTCTGGGTAGGTGTCATGGAGAGAGTCCACGTTCCCAGAGAGATCACCCAATAACTTGCTCAGATGCTTGTGTTTCTAGAATTGCTTTTAATTATAAAGCTTTAGACTTCATAATTAGGGTTCATTAAATGCTTGACACTGATGTCCACCTTGCATTTATTGTTTCAGATTAATTTAGCAGAGCAGAGCTGGCACCTATTTACATTTTCCAGCTTTTTCAAGACAAATTTACATAAGAAATACCTAATTCTATGCAATTAGCATGCCTGTGATATACCTAGGTTTTGTTTTATGACAGTACTGGTGGTCTTGTACAGTTTCAAATAGTGCTATATTCTGTGCAAGGATGCCAACAGGGCTCTTTCAGGTCTTTTCTTCCTCTTAAATAGATAATGATGTGGTTAGTTCATTTATTTATTTTTACCCCCAGGGAATGTATTTATTTTATTCCACATAGTTGTTATGAGATTCTAGTCAGGAGATTAGCATTATGGGGGAAAGTTTCAGAAGATAGTGTTTTATTGCTATGGCACATTTACAGGCTGATTTTCTATTCTCTCTTATCAATCTTCAAGGGACATAGCCTTTTATTGGAAAATGCTGAATTTCTATCCAGCTGATGAGAAAAATGCAATGCTGTGAAGGTTTGATGCTAACCTCTGGCGTGTCTTAGTGTTTTGGACTATCAGCTTGGATGAAAAAGCATAAAGGGATGTAGAAAACCTCTTAGAGGAGGTGAAATTCACACTAGGGGCTTGACTGGGGATGCAAAATGGACAAAATTAAAGGGAGGAGGTAAAGAAAATTACAAGAAAGAGTGAAAAGAAGGCACAAAAAAGGGTTAGTTTGGTAGCAGTCAGAATAAGTCAAATGCAACAGGATTGAACCTGCGCCGTGTATGTAAAAGACTGAAATGAAGAAAAGCCCTGGATTACTTTGTTCTTCAATATTGAATCCTACCTCCCCAAGTGGAATAGAGCATGAAATATGACAGAGATAAGCCAAGATTGAAAACAGCCATAAAATATATTTAAAAAAGAATCCTTGAAAGGGTTATGAAGTTTTCTGGAAAAGTAAATTGAAACTGAAATTACACTGGACAAAACTTAGTAAGTCCCAGGGTGCAGTCCCAGAGGGAAGTCTTTCTAGAAGGGAAGACCCATTAAACTTAGCACCTTACTTCAGAGGGAACTATGTTTAGGACCAAGTTGCTAACCACGTGAATATGACCTATGTAAATCATGGGATAAATTGATTTTTGTTTTTGTTTTTAGTATATGTATCCATTGTTTGCTAAGGTCACACATTTGATGTACTATGTGCTCATTTTGCTTGTAAAAAATTAATTTTATAGTTAGTATTTTGACCTGGTTTTGTCGAATGACAAAATACCAACTAAGGAATGTAGGAGATATAAGGCACATTGTAATGAGAGGGCAGACATTATGCTCTGAGTTCCAGAACCTAAACATGTCTCACCTGGTCATCCTGTGCTTCAACACCTTTAGACCTGGTGCCTACAGGCCATTTTTTCTAGACAGTTCCCCCCACACCAATGAATGAATGAATGAATGAATGTAGACACAGTTCTGTCCAGGCCAGCATCCTGATGGAGATGCAAAGTGACTCCTGTCCAGCCATCTGATTATTCAATGGGAGTAAAGACTCCCATCTCTGCATGGATCTGCTGAGGAGGGGTGCTCTTTCTCTGTGTACCTGTGTTTGTGAGAGTATGGGATGGCCACAGCTACTTTTGGCCACACCCACTGCAAGCATCTGGCCCCTGAAAGGTTGGCCAATGATGAATGTGGTCCTTGGACTAAAAATGCTTCACCACTCCTGCGTTAGAGGGAAAGGAAGAGTATAGGTAGGTAAAGTAAGGTGTGGGATCCCTGGATGGTTAAGTCCAGCTGAATTCAACTATGGGTTGCATCACTCACCTCTGCTTTCAGGCCGAGATAGCCAGCGTTTGTCTGCAGACAGCTTTTCTGGGTTATGTGGCCAGCATGACTAAACTGCTTCTGGTGCATGGAGCACCGTGACTGAAGCCAGAGCGCACGGAAATGCCATTTACCTTCCTGCCGCAGTAGTACCTATTTATCTACTTGCACTGGTATGCTTTCGAGCTGCTAGGTTGGCAGGAGCTGGGACAAAGCATCCGTCACACAAATTCGAACTGCTGACATTCTGATTGGCAAGCACAAGAGGTACAGTGGTTTAGACCACATTGCCACCCACGTGGGAGAGAATACAGTGTTGCTGTCGCCTAAAGCACTCAACATAGGATTATCCCCCCTCCACTTTATCATGATGAAACTCATAGCAACCACAGTCTCAAGTGAGGTCATGGGCTTAGCCGGGGGATGGGGGGCAGCTGCCCCACTTAAATCAAGTAAATAAATAAAAATACTTAACTAACTCACCAATTTTGTTGCAGATAACTCAGTTCTGCCCCATACCTAAAATAAAGTCTGCCTATGCCCATGAGTGAGGCCAGTGTGTAGATAAGGTTGTCAAATATCATGAACACAATCCAGACAACACTTTTTCAGACCCTTGATTCCAGGTGGGCGCATGTGAGGCAGCAACCATGCAGAAGTGAAGCAGGTCCAGTATTTTCTGGTCGGTGTCTGATGGGAAATCACATGGTAACTCCATGTATGCTGCCTTGAGTGATGGAAGATGGGCTAGGTGACCTTAAATAATAAACAGGAGCAATGGAAGTGCATGTAAAAGTCAGACTTTGCAAACAATGGGACTTTAAGGTGTTTAGGTTAGGCTGGGATTGTGCCCCATATTTCATAGAATCATAGAATTGTAGGCTGTGTTGCTACTGGTTCCCTCAATACTAAGATAGGCTTGACGTATTTCAGAGTGAGAATCCGGACACAAAAGTTGTTTTTGAGTTATCTTTAAGAAAAAACTGCCGACATGGGTTGCCATACATCTGGATTTTCCTGGACATTTTGCCGATTTCTGCCCAGATACTGTTTCTGACTGCAGTATTCCCAGAATGTCCAGGAAATTCCACAAATATGGCAATCCTCACTAAGATTAATGCGGGAAACTGTTGTACTGATCCAACAACCCAAACAATGGGATAAATGGAAGAGGTCGTTGAAAACTGATTGGGAAAACCCAATTAATTTGGATTGTATGGGGAATTGTTCAGCTAAGGAGGTTTATACTAGTACTGCAGTTTTACTTCAGTTGGCAGCGTACAGTAGGCTGACTGAGGAGATTGTGGTTGACTGTTTGTGATTATATACTTGCATTTTAAAACAATGAACTCTGTTATCTGGTAGGCTGGGAGATTGCTTTTTAATTTTGCCATATGGCCTGCTGCCATCTTGCTGAGGCTGTTTGTTGTTTCTGATACCAGTTAATAAAAAGCGAGCAGCTTGAATTTTCAATGCTGGCTGACAGCCAGTTCATAGCATAAAATCTTTTTCTTCTAAAGATTATTTGCTACTTCCCTGGCAAAAAGGAGGGACATTTAGACCCTGCCCTTCATGCCCTAGAGAAACCTATTTCACCTCTGTGTATGTAAACATTTAAAAAATTAACGTTAAACCTGAACAAAGAAATATGGACCATGCATTAAAGATGCAGCTAGTGACTCTTATCAGTCTGCTTGTGTCAGAAATGGGCTGCAATTCTCTTTAGCTCCTTGGGAGAAATTACAAATTTCAGCATAAAATAATCAGTTGCTGCAAAACCCCAAACATTTAAAATTCTAAAATTAGTATTTTCCTCAAAGCAAACTTACAGGTTCACAACTTTGCATCATTTTGGTTTAACTTTTATTTAAATTTACTTATTCTCAGCTCACATAATGTTTTATTACCTCTTCTCTCCTTTAAATGATTGTTTCAGTGAACTGCATTCTGATACTATCATTATCATCATTATCATTATTAGTCACTTTATGCACAAAAAGTAACCCATTTATTTAAATGGAGAGAAAAATGGGAAATCATAATTTTAAACAAGGTGTTCAGTCAGTTGCTATAGCCATGTGCTATAGTGATTCCTTTGGTAGCATCCAGAAGCCGTTTTCATTAAAGAAAAGGCATTTTGAAGTCTCTCTCTGTCTCTCTCTGTCTCTCTCTCTCTCTCTCTCTCTCTCTCTCTCACACACACACACACACAGTATCTTCTGATTTAGGGTGACAAAATACTGTAGCCCAACTTGTTAATGCACCTGATGCCCTAATCTACCAATATATTTACTTAGAAGTAGAAGTTACAGTTGCCAACCCTTTTCTCCAGTATTGGAAAAAGCAAACAACACACACACAACAACAACAACAACAACAACAACAACAACAACAACAACTCATTTCTAATTCAATGAAAGTGCAGTTCACAATCCAATGGGCAGAAAGTGGAGTCCATTTTTCTATTGTTCATACTACAAGTCCGTCCCAAATAAGGATTTTACCTTGAAGTTTATCCCTTTCTGTGATATCAAGTGCTTTGATCTACCACTTTTTGACAGTTTGCACCATGGCCAAGTTCCAGGGTTGGGATAGATCATCTTACACAGGTCTGATAAGGGAACCTGTTGGTGAAGCCCAGTTGTTTTTGGTGGGTCTGGCAGTGGAGTCTAGATAAAAAGCAAAACAATTTACAGTGGTCCCTCGGTTTAAGAACAGTCCGGTTTAAGAACGATTTGGTTTACAAACTCCACAAAACCGGAAGTAGTGTCTTGGTTTGAGAACTTTACCTCAGTCTAAGGGCGGAAGCTGAACAGTGGAAGGGCACCGGCGGCGGGAGGCCTCAGGTAAAGTGCGCCTCGGTTTAAGAACGGTTTTGGTTTAAGAACGGACTTCCGGAACGGATTAAGTTCGTAAACCAAGGTACCACTGTATTCACCTAAAGTGTACAGCACCTCCCCCCCATCCCCAAATATCCAGTGGCTCAGGGTGAAAAACAAGCTACAACAATTTCCCCTCTCCCTTTTCTGGCATAAGCAAAGGATTTATTTTGCTTTTCTGGTTAGTTAGCAATTGTAATATAATTGCCTTCCAAACTGCATTGTTAGGCCCTGATAATATCTATTTCCGCATCAGACTTAGTTTTGAAGCATAATGGTGCATGTTATAAACTGTACGAAAGAGCCCTGAGCTGTTTAGGCATGTTCCAAATGTTTCTGCTTAAGGCAGTTTGCTTCAGTGAGACATAAATGCTACACTGGTTGTTCAGGACCACAAATGAACTGTCACCAGTGCAGAGTTGATGGGGGGGAGCCCCCCCCGCAAACAAGACAAAGGATACATATAAGTAAATAGGTTGGTAGAAACTTTGGGCTTCCTCTAATGTGTGCTAGAGAAGGCACAGAACATGAAAATAAAGAGAACAGGAGCTCAAGAAAACATATTCTGAAAATATGGAACCATTGTTTTAGAGCCATGGGTTAGGGTTTCATGAAACAGTCAAAAGTTTAAAAGTAACAAAGGCCTTTTCCACAGACCATGTTGATAGAACAAGCAAAGACGTTTGATTATTTTGCCACCATCACCACCACTCCCAGCTGCCTATAACAAGTAGAAATGTTGTTAGATAAGGGACAACTCTGTTTCCTGTTAACAGTGCTACCCTATTAGCCCTGATCTCCATCTGCTGGTGGGGCTGGGGGTCATTACTAAATTCTATTGCACCATCAGTACAAGAAGAAACACCAACATTGTTAATTTATGCTGGAGTTGCACCACTGTGCAGATAGTATATACAGGCATCCCTGTATTTACGTGGGCTTACGTGAAATCGGGCACAGTAGGGAGCTCTCCAGCTCTCTCCTGCCATTTCCTGGTTTGCTTGGATGCTTTAGTTGAGCTTCCTGCATTGCAGGGGGTTGGACTAGATGACCCCTGTGGTCCCTTCCCACTCTACAATTCTGTGATTCTATTTGTTTATGTGCGTATAACATGCATAAGTGGAGGGATGCCTGTAGTGCTCATGTAACCCCAGAAAGACACTACTGATACCTGCAGAAAATTTAGACCATCTTGGGTTGGGAAGGGAATCCTTTGCTCCTTAAGGGTTTAGTTCTGCACTCAATAACAGCGAAAAAGGTAGCATAAATTTTCATTCTCCGTGCCTCCACAGCCTCACCTGGGGATGGGGTTCTCTCAGGAGACAAAAACAGCAACCCACCAAGACTGTGGAGGCCTCAATATGGGAACACAAACAGCAAAAGCAGGTAAGTGGGAGAGAGGCAACTGGCTGGAGGAGGGTGGGAGGGTAGGACTGGTCCCTTGGTATTTATTTTTAATTATCATCATTATTATTTTAATCCACCCTTCACCCTAAGGTCCTATTGCATGTTACAATTAAAACACAACACAGTTTTATTATTATTTATTTATTAAATTTGAATACAGCCCTTCGTCCAAAGATCACAGGGTGGTTCACAACATAAAAATAAAAAATGAGGAACACAAAATACACCACCAAACCAACTGATATCCCCCCCCACAGACACATTTATAATGCAATAGTATGGTCAGCCAGTCAAAGGCCTGGTTATAGAGAAATGTTCTTGCCTTTTCTGCATTTTGGCTAAGCTTTGGCATGAGCATGTCAAGTTACTATTCTGGGAATAGTACACCCTAAGTGTACACGACCCCTTCTACATATAAGTGTACATGACCCCTTTTACATATCACAATATGGATCCTTTGTCATAAGTGGATGCATGCTTTCAAGATCTGAATAAGAGGGCAGTTGTTTAAAACATTAGTGTTCTCATAGTTCCCAAGCCAGATTCCACAATCCACGCCTAGAAAGAAACACAAATCATTCCAGAGTTTTAAAAGCAAGGCCACTCCTATCTGATAGGAAGATCTGCCCTTGAAAATACAAGAATCTGCATGCCAAGAGGAGAACATTTTCAAGAACTTACATAAGGAACTCCACCTCTGCCTGTTCCAAGCTCCAATCAAGATCAGTAGAAAGTGTTTTGAACTAAACTATACTGTCAAAAGAAAAACACTCCTTTCGCCTCCCCCTTCAATTGCATGAATTCAGATGTTCACTTACCAATACTTCCAGAACAGTTCTAAAGAATGTAATTGGGAGTAGAAAACAGAAAGAGATACAGTGGGTTTGGGAAGGATTTTAATAGGATTTTATAAAGCTTAGTTCTAACAAAAGTATGGACTTTAATAGATTGCTTTTTAAAAATAAAAGAATTCTCTCGCAGGGAAAATCCTATTCAAATACAAATTGCTTCATTGATTGGCAAGATTGATATATTCTTCTCTGAGTAGAAAAGGGTGAAATCCTTTCTTCGTGTAAGTCTAATTATGATGCCAAACCTCCACTTGGGAGTTCCTTCCTTCCCATGTGGCCTTGGGCAATCAAAGTCCTTTCTTGATCCAGTGGCAAATTAGGGTTTAGCACTGTATTATTTCTCTCTTTCCTCACAGGAAATTCAGTGATTCAGTCGCAGAATGTAATGGAGTCTCAAAACACCATCTAGCAGAGTTCATTATACCCATCTAATGTTTGATAAATTACCTAGCCTTGTCTTTTAAAATAGTCTAGAAATACTAACATTAAATGATGTGATCCATTGCCTACCCCCAAGGGTGCAAGAGTGGGGAAATAGGGGCCCTCAGTCACTCATCCATGGCATGCCAGCCATTATTTGCAGTGGGAAGCACATATGAGTGTAGAGCAGGGGTAGGCAACCTAAGGCCCGGGGGCCGGATCTGGCCCAATCGCCTTCTCAATCTGGCCCCCGGACGGTCTGGGAATCAGCGTGTTTTTACATGAGTAGAATGTGACCTTTTATTTAAAATGCATATCTAGGGTATTTGTGGGGCCTGCCTGGTGTTTTTACATGAGCAGAATGTGTGCTTTTATTTAAAACGCATCTCTGGTTATTTGTGGGGCATAGGAATTCATTCAGGGGTTTTTTTCTAAATATAGTCCAGCCCCCCACAAGGTCTGAGGAACAGTGAATCGGCCCCCTGCTGAAAAAGTTTGCTGACCCCTGGTGTAGAGTCTAACCAACCCACCGTTTTTGTGGGCTGCTGTACCCACCCGTCCTTGGATTTCTACATTTGCAATGCTGAAGTTGTCTGCTAATGTCTTAGGGTTGATTTGTGTGCATGCCTATCATTTTATAATTTCCTTACTTGCATTTGTGAAAGCAATCGCAGATCAAACACCAAAGCTTAAAAAAACAAACCCTACTGTTGTCAACGCAAACACATTTTACACTGCAGCCGTATCATACATGCAGTGAAGAAAAGGGCTGTGCATACATTTCCATTTACTCTGGCTCCAGGGCACTCCCATTGCTGTGTCTGAAGCCACGTTCACATGAGTTTAGCCACAATCTATATCTATTCTATAGTTTCTGGAGAAATACAGCAGTTGGATGCATTTTCCCTCAAGCAAGCTTGCATCTGATTTGAAAATGTAAGCTGTGTTCACATCGTAGTTAAGGTGCAGTGTATATATTTGATATAGCTGTTGCTCATGCAGGTGACAGCTTCACAAATAGGAGTTTGGAAGGTTGCAGGTACATCAGGTGAAGACATGCCCATCTCTCTGGTGTGTACAGCAATGTAAAAATGCAACTTGAAATACAGTAGTGGAAAACAACATCACTGCATTTTAAGCCACTAACTTGTACACAGCTAAAGTCACCAACTGGAGATAAATCAAATGAGCTAGATGTTTGTGTGAATTAACCCTTAGTGTTGTGACTCGCTTAATTTTCTGTATTTGGAATGAGGCGTATGAGAGATTCCTCCAGCAACCCTGGCCTTTTTTTTATCCCTAGCCCCTCAGCAGCAGCCTTCAGATGACTAGGGTATAGATAGATTACTTCCAAGCAAGTAAAAAATATTATTTTGCTTGCTGATTGTTTGGAAGAGGTTAGTATTTCTCTGAAGATGCAAAAGGTTGAGTTCAGGATATAGCCCTGATTTATCTCTTTTATGTGTCAAAGCCGTTATTTATTTGTCCTTATCTTGCATCCCAATCCCAAAGAAGGGCAGTGCCAAAGAATGCTCCAACTACTGCACAATTGCACTCATTTCACACGCTAGCAAGGTTATGCTTAAAATTCTACAAGGCAGGCTTAAGCAGTATGTGGACTGAGAACTCCCAGAAGTGCAAGCTGGATTTCGAAAGGGCAGAGGAACCAGAGACCAAATTGCAAACATGCGCTGGATTATGGAGAAAGCTAGAGAGTTCCAGAAAGACATCTACTTCTACTTCATTGACTATGCAAAAGCCTTTGACTGTGTCGACCACAGCAAACTATGGCAAGTTCTTAAAGAAATGGGAGTGCCTGATCACCTCATCTGTCTCCTAAGAAATCTCTATGTGGGACAAGAAGCTACAGTTAGAACTGGATATGGAACAACTGATTGGTTCAAAATTGGGAAAGGAGTACGGCAAGGCTGTATATTGTCTCCCTGCTTATTTAACTTATATGCAGAATTCATCATGCGAAAGGCTGGGCTGGATGAATCCCAAACTGGAATTAAGATTGCCGGAAGAAATATCAACAACCTCAGATATATAGATGACACAACTCTGACGACAGAAAGTGAGGAGGAATTAAAAAACCTTTCAATGAGGGTGAAAGAGGAGAGTGCAAAATATGGTCTGAAGCTCAACATCAAAAAAACAAAGATCATGGCCACTGGGCCCATCACCTCCTGGCAAATAGAAGGGGAAGAAATGGAGGCAGTGAGAGATTTTACTTTCTTGGGCTCCATGATCACTGCAGATGGTGACAGCAGTCACGAAATTAAAAGACGCCTGCTCCTTGGGAGAAAGGCGATGGCAAACCTAGACAGCATCTTAAAAAGCAGAGATGTCACCTTGCCAACAAAGGTCCAAATAGTTAAAGCCATGGTTTTCCCAGTAGTGATGTATGGAAGTGAGAGCTGGACCATAAAGAAGGCTGGTCGCCGAAGAATTGATGCTTTTGAATTATGGTGTGGAGGAGACTCTTGAGAGTCCCATGGACTGCAAGAAGATCAAACCTCTCCATTCTGAAGGAAATCAGCCCTGAGTGCTCACTGGAAGGACAGATCGTGAAGCTGAGGCTCCAATACTTTGGCCACCTCACGAGAAGAGAAGAATCCCTGGAAAAGACCCTGATGTTGGGAAAGATGGAGGGCACAAGGAGAAGGGGACGACAAAGGACGAGATGGTTGGACAGTGTTCTCGAAGCTACCAGCATGAGTTTGACCAAACTGCGGGAGGCAGTGGAAGACAGGAGTGCCTGGCATGCTCTGGTCCATGGGGTCACGAGGAGTCGGACACGACTGAATGACTAAACAACAACATCATCTTGCATCCTGTGGTTTATGTAAACTTAATAAGCTCTTGCATTTTCTGTTCCATTGTAGTTAGTAATGGTTTAACATTCAGTCTAGGGTGCTAGATGAAGTTGTTGAATCACTGCCAGGTAACATCCGCAGCTAGTGATACAGAGATAAAGCCTACTTGATTTATGAATTACATTGTGATTGATCAAGTAATCCTCTAAAACTGGTGGATAGCATGGCTACTAATGGATAGGAAGGCCCAAAAGTCAATGAATTTTGGTCCTTGGAAAGCCTGCAGTTCCATCTTCCATTCAGTAACCCAGGGAGTAAGTAATAGGTGAATGGAGTATTATTCTAATGCCCAATAAACTTTAAATATTACCAGTATCTGGTATGAGGATATCATAGTCAGTGAACAGCAGAATCACACTCTTCCTATCACTCAGGCAAGAGGTTCTTTCGGATCCCAGCAGATGGAGGACTATCAGACTATCAGGTGAAGAAGTGGTTTATTAATTGGAAAATATTAATAATAAGATAAAATAGCACTTAGCATAAGGGACCAAGCAAAAAATACAAAAACAAAAGGGTATTAGGGAAAGAACTGCAAAAGCGAAGTTCATGGTTCCTCAATTGCTGTGGAGACCCTGGGAACAATAGTTTGGGCCAACGTCCTCTGGTAAGTCTTGTGCGAGAAGTTTCCGAGAACTGCTGAAACTGAGCTCTTATACACGGGTTTGAGAGCATGGTCTGATAACAGGTGTGCTCAGGAAGTCACTTTGTTCTCATAGCCTTGATGGTCAGCCAACAGGCATATCCTTGGGGCTGAACTAGGCACAGGTCACTTGTCAGTCATCTTGTTCTCTCCAGGGGGGCCTGGTTTTTGGTAGTTGGTCAAGCCATGACATTTCAGCAGATATATAAATATTTAAAGCTACAGCTACATCAAAACCAGGAGCACCACCAACCGGCCATACAATGACCAAGGCAAATGCAGTCCTGAACCCAGACTGGAATGGGTCTAGATAACCAGTTCCCATCCCCCACCAGGAATGGACTATTATCACTCCTTCAAGGCAGCAGGCACCAGTCCCTCATGCAAAAAAACAACACTCAGAACCCATCCAGTCATCCCACCCCCAAGATCACTTTGATTAGTCATGAATGTCAAGAGGTGGGAAGGCACAGCATTGAGCACATACACACAAGCACCCTGTCAGTATTATCGATATAAAACTCTAGAGTCTGGAACCATGAGACTGAATAATAAATGGACCAATCACTTCGTAATTGAAATGTGCTACATACGGTAAGTTTCCTTTGAGTCCATAAGCAGCATCCGGGTGGAAACTTTGCCCCCCCTCCCAAGCTAAGAAGAGCTCAACAACTTTTGTGTCTGGATTTTCAATTTTTGAAATATAATGGGTGTGGGTGTATGCAAAACTCCTATAACAATCAGAGCTATCTGGTTCAGAGATCTGGTTCAGTTTGGTAGGTCTTATCTAAATCCCCAAGCTCTTGTTCTAGCTATTAAGCCCCCACCCCACCCCCAAAAAGGGGTGTTAGATCCTTGGCACAATACCCATTTTGTGTAAGATCTGTAATTATGCAGCTGCCACAGTGACTGTGAAATTCAGAGAGAGCTCTGTAAATGTCATGTGATAACAGTTACCATGAAAAGTACCAACTTGTTAAGTAATTTACACCATAATAATTAAAAGCTAATCACTTGGGATTCAGCACTATCTAAAGTATATGCTGTTTCTCCCCAGGAATGTTCTTTCTGAGCTATATTTTGCAAGGACAAAAAGTTATTCTCTCTGGTATTGGTACCCTCTGATCCTAAGTACATTCATTTACTGAGAAGATGGCTGCCAATAACAATGAAACACACTACCACGTTTCGTTTCACATCACCACAATCTGTGGGCGGTGTCAGAT